GGCAGCAGTATCTGCTGAAATTAAACGCAAAAATTCCCCCAAATCGACTGAAATCACTGAATTTTGCTGCGCAGACGTGAATATTTTTCTCAGCTACGAATAAAATTAGGGGCACAGACCTACCACTGACGCTTGCTGCCTCTGGCATGCACCTCAAAACTATCATCGAAACGGAAAAAGCCTGGAATCGGAAACGTCCACGAAAGGAGGGACGGACCTGGTGCGCGCTTGGAAGTTTTTGTAGTCAACAAACTATGTAACACACAATATTATACCAGTTACACTCAGGAACTTTCCCAAATTTAAATTCTAAAACTCAAAGCATTCTTCTTCTTGCATACTGACCAAATTATGAACAGTACTTTTCGACAATCAAGACCCTGAAATATGTTAGAGTCTGCAGAAAAATTATGATTGGCCAGCGCATCGACTGCCAGTGCAAAGATGCGTTTTTTGCATAGTTCTCCGCAAGTTTTTGTTGCTGATGGTGCCGGTTTTCCCGGCAGATGCTTCTACCTAAGCGAAATGAGACTGACTGTCAGGACTGTCAGGAAACACTCCTTTAAAATCTCAGCCTTCTAACTTTTCTAGTTCCCGAGTTAGCAGCCTGCCCGCCAAAAACTTTGCCGGGCCCGTACGTGGGTACCAAGCGGGCAAGAACGCCCATTTTGGGAATGGAAGCCCGCACGTGTACGTAGATCAACTTCCCGAAGTTTCAGCCCTGTAGCTTTTGTAGGTCTCAAGATGAGAAATCGGTAAAGACGTACATACAGACAGACCCCTCGTCAATATGTATTTTCTGCGTTGCATAGATGCAAAAAACGCATAAAAAACAGAAGAGGGAGCCAGATATGTGAAAAGAGTATCAGTAGTAGAGGACAATCCACTAGTTTTTCCCCGTTTTTGGTGTGAATAGAACTGAGGCAACTCTAAATTTAACTCGCAATACCATGATTATACGTACATGGATTTTCGTCCGCCTTGGCCGGATCGAGTTGTTGTCGAGCAAATGAGTAGCCGCTGATAACTGGTAAATGTAGCTTCGTCGATACTGGTCTAAAAAATGTTTAACACAAATTTTTGCGTGCAGAACAGTCCGTTCTCTAGCATACCGAAAATGACCTATACAGGCTGTACAACTGTAGCTTTTGAAAAAAAAGCAATATCAGTGAATTTTTCTGTGGTCCGATTGAGGGCCTTTTTAATGACAGCCACTTTCTACTACTAAAATTATACTTCTCCAAACTGCTCCAGAAGAAAGCTGTCCTTGTTTTGGTCCCTAACATGCCAATAGCAACTCGCTTTTGCTATAAATTTTTCATCGAAACGAATCGAAAAATCAAACAGAGTTTAATATTTTCAGCAAAAAATTTTGAGATTTATGGGAGACAAGAAGCCATCAGTCAGCTAATATGCTAGCCTTTTTAAAAAATGAAGAAAAAAGGTTGTAGCTAACGTCGCTAAGGTGTTTTTCTGTTGAATACCGGCTTGTCTATACACGCAATTATCATCAATAGTATCAATGACAGTCAGTAAGCCATCCAGTGATAATAGATTAATCGAACGCAAGCCTATCACGGGAAATGCGTTTTCAAGCAGGAGCTAAAAATTTCAATTATATTGCTTGATCGATATAAAAGTCTGCTGCTTTGCGTCGATGATGCAAAGTTCATCAGGCAGATCTTTCCTATAATCTTTTTCTACATTTTCTAACAAAATTTTCACTTTACCCTAAATAGATATAAGTCAAACGAAAGATGTACTGGGATGAGAAATGCATGCCCCGTGATCCAACTTTGAACAATGCTCACCCCAGACGGTTCCATACTTTGCTTCCCCATAAAATGTTAAACTGATAAATAGGTGGTACAAGCTCGTCTACAAAAAAAAAAAAATGCATATTTCGCCGAGCAACAAGGCCAGGATTCACAGAATACACGCACAGAGAGAGTCGAATTCATGTCAGCTTCAATTCCGTCAAAAAAAAAAAAAAAAAAAATGGAAGTATATCTTTTCAATCTCGAAGTTTCTCGGTCTCGAACTTTTCTCCAATCCCCATATCCAATCTCGAAATTTTCTCAGTTCCCGAGCTAATCTCGAATTAAATAAAACTAATCTCGAAAAACCTCATGTCGACCAAGCTTTTTATACCTTCCTCAAAATGGAAATACACATAGTCAAAAAAAAAAATGTGGTCTAATCAACAGTGGCTCGAAAAAACATAACGGAACCGCTATCTTTTCGCTATGCAAGAAATGTTAAAAAAAAAGAAAATCCCGTGAACCGTTGGAGGTAAAACTGAAACTTCGAGGCTCAAAACAGGCGGAAATTTATCAACTATAATTTACTTAACTGGCAAAATAAGGCATCTTTTGACAAAATATCTTAAAAATTATTGATAAAAAAGCCTTCCGAGCAATTTTTTCCACAAAAAACCAATGCCAAAGGACCTGCAAAATGAGATGATTTGCGACAAACCTTTGTCAAATCCTCGAATAAGTTGGAGCAGTACAAATTACAATCGTAGTTGAGATAGAGCTCGGTAACAAGGCCGGCAATACGCCACAGCTGTACGATACTTTCCAGGGCCATTTCTTTCTGCTCGTAACTGATTCGACTCTAAAAATTTCTTTTCTGAACTGTTATACTGATATCTGGAAAGAAAAAACAGAAAAAAAACGCATAAACGCTTGAAACGGGCTAATTCTCCCATGCAATCAAAAGAAAAGCGTAATATAGAACCAAAAATTAAAAAAAAAAATAAGGTTAATTTCAAAAAAAAAAAGAGAACAAAAGCCAAATTTTTGAAATTTTTTGAGATGCTAATTTCAAACTAGAACATTATAGCTGAAAGTGGAGTTGTAAGTGTATAAGTATAACAAAACAACGCCATCTGTGATGCAGTACAGCAAGGGGCCTCTGAGATCCGTGCGCTGTATAAAACCAATCCTTTTACAGTTCAATAATTCATCCCGAAATTTATAAAATGATATACCGAAAGAGCTTCTGACCTAGATAATCTTCAACAGTTTTACAGGAAAGCCTCGGGAAAAGGCCAGGATCGGCAAGGATACCGTTATAAGAACTTGGCAAATCATATTTAGAGGAAAATTCGAAAAATTTTCAGCGATACCTGTTCGCTGGTGACAATTGATTTCAGCTTCATAAAATACGCTTCGAGCTGGAACTTTAGGTCCGAGCGAAGGCTCTCGAAGAGCAGGAAGCAAACTCGATTTGTTGCCGCAAATACTGGCAACTTTTCAGTGTCCAAAAGCTGAAAATAACAGGCTAAATAAACACATTTCAATGTATTTTAATCCAGATTTACCGGAAAAATTTATGGCGCAAACGTCAAACCAGTTACTGATTTAGGCAAATTTCAAAGTTATGCATTTTTGATGCACATCAATGAACCGCAGAATGCCCTAAAAACCCTCCCAAAATAATACGGAAAACAAATAATCTCAGAATAATAAAAACTGCCTAATTCCCAAAAATGCAGCTTTGCGAGTTTATGATGCACTGTTTGCTAACTTTTAAACTGTCAGATCATAGGCCTGTCCTTAGAATTACCACGCTACCATTTTTTTTGTACGGAAAATCGACGTGGGCTTCAAATAATGCTGGTAATACAAGCGAAGGAGAAGAAACTGAGTATTAACAATTATTTTTAGAACTTAACGGGTCACACAACTTATAGCTAAACAATAAGATATTACTGCTTTAAAGAGGAAGTACCCTAATTTCGGTAACCTCTGAATGTGCTTCACCAAAGTCCCTCTCTTTCTTCCCTCTCCCC